GGCTCCGGGGTGGTCGGCAGGGCGGCGGGGGACGGAGGGGCCGGTAGGACACCAGACGCGTGAGCCCACAGAGTGGCGCCGTCCTGTCGCTGGCTGGTGAGGAAGCGCGTGGTCTGGCGCTGCCAGGTGCCGAACTCTATCGGGCGTCCCTCCGCGTCGAAACGGAGGCGACGCGACTCCATAACGGATGTCATGCTAGAGGCGGCTGGAGCACGGCGGAGGCTGAGCTAAGAGCGAGGAGGAAACCTACGGAGCGCCAGGAGGGAGAACGGCGGAGTGAGCGGCTAGGAGCACTGAGTGACCTAGGCTAGGCGTGAAACGGAGGATCTCCAGCTACAACGGCTAGGGGCGCGATACTAGCGGCTAAACGGCTCGAACCTAGGCGGGCGGCGAGAGAGAGCGGCTGCCAGCCGCTGGGTGATAGACCAGTGTCAGTAGAGCTGGGGAGGGCCCCGCGCACAAGGCGGTGGCGGGGCTAGGGCGCGTGCCAAGGGTGGGTAAACAGGAAGAGAGGGGCGGGGGGGGGAGTTTGCGACGGTGGAAATGGGCGGGGAGGGCGGTTTTGACGGTGGGAATGGGCGGGGAGGGCGGTTTTGACGGTGGGAATGGGCGGGAGGGCGGTTTTGACGGTGGGAACGGGCGGGAGGGCGGTTTTGACGGTGGGAATGGGCGGGAGGGCCGTTTTGACGGTGGGAATGGGCGGGGAGGGCGGTTTGACGGTGGGAATGGGCAGGGAGGGCTGTTTTGACGGTGGGAAAGGGCGGGGGGTGTCAGAATATGTTGTTTGTGTAGCCTGCAGTGGGGTACTCAATAGTGAGTACAGCCCCTTAGGGTTTGCTATTTGTATCCTGCTGCTTGCTAGTTCAATCATTCCTTCTCAATTGTGTTCGTGCACACATTCCTAGCTCGTACTTGGCGCCTCCTTACGTAGTCCTACTGTGGCCTAGGCTACTAAGCCTAGGCCGTACTCCTACTATATTTGACATGGTATCAGAGGGCGGCATGTCTGCCGCCTTCCTGTGTATGGGCCCACCACCCGCTTCCGCTGCCGTACTGTCCGCCGCGCGCCCCGTGGTGCGCGGCGGCGAAACCCTAATTTCTGCCCGCCGCGCGCTCGGGGCGCCTGGCGGTTTTCCCTTCCGTGGCGCCCGTCGTGGTGCCCTTGGGGGGCCTCCGCGGTCTCCTCCCGTCGAAGCGCCCGTCGAGGCGCTCTCGGGGACCCGCGCGACCTCCCCTCCCGTCGCCCGTCGAGGCGACCTCGGGGACCCGCGCGGCCTCCCCTCCCGTCGCCCGTCGTGGCGACCTCGGGGACCCGCGCGGCCTCCCCTCCCGTCGCCCGTCGAGGCGACCACGGGGGCCCGCGCGGCCTCCCCACCAGTCGCCCGTCGTGGCGACCACGGGGGCCGCGCGCGGTCCCCTCCCGTCGCCCGTCGAGGCGACTTCGGGGGCCGTGCGCGGCGCCCTCCCCGTCGCCCGTCGAGGCGACTTCGGGGGCCGTGCGCGGCCCTCCCCGTCGCCCGTCGAGGCGACTTCGGGGGGCCCGCGCGGCGCCCTCCCCGTCGCCCGTCGAGGTGGCTCTGGGGGCCCGTCGCGGCGCCCTCCCTGGTGCCCGTCGCGGCGCCCCGGGGGGGGGGCCGCGCGGCTCCCTTCTCGTCGCCCCTCGGGGCGCCCTGGGGGCCGTGCGTTTTCCCCCCCCGCGGCCGCCCCTGGAGCCGCCCGCCACTGCAGCAGCAGCCCCTGGAGCCGCCCGCACCTGCAGCAGCCGCCCCTGGAGCCGCCCGCCACTGCAGCAGCCGCCCCTGGAGCAGCCCGCACCTGCAGCAGCCGCACCTGGAGCAGCCCGCACCTGCAGCAGCCGCCCCTGGAGCAGCCCGCACCTGCAGCAGCCGCCCCTGGAGCAGCCCGTGCCTGCAGCAGCCGCCCCAGGACCCGCGCGAGCCACCCCTGCAGAAGCCCGTCCCGTCCCCCACCCCCCCCCCCCCCCCCCCCCTCCCGTGCTGCCCATTGCTCCCATTCCACCGTGCATTCCGCGGTGGTTGGGGTGTGGGGTGGCGAGCATGGGGGTGAGAGGTGTGGGTTCTCCCCTCCTCCTTTTTCGTCTCCCACTGCTGCAGCTGCCGCTGAGGGGGGTGGAGGTGTGGGAGTCGTGGGGAGTGGCACTAGGGGGGTGATGTGGGAGTGGAGCTAGGGGTGAAACTGGGGGTGTGTGTAGGGGGGTGTGGGACAGTTGGGGGAGGTTGAGTGGAGGCAGCCGTCGTGTCGTCCGCAGCGCCTGTATTCCGGGGCCCTTGTCGCCGGTAGCTCAGAGAGCCTGCTGCACCTGTTGCCCGTGGGTCCGTTGCTCCTGCCGCTCGTCGCAGCCGCAGAGCCTGTTACTCCTGTATTCCGGGGCCCTTGCCTCGGTAGCCACTGAGAGCCTGCTGCACCAGTCGCCCGTGGGTCCGTTGCTTCTGCCGCTCGTCGTAGCCGGAGAGCCAGTTACTCCAGTAGTCCGGGGCCCTTGCCTCGGTAGCCACTGTGTCAGCCGCCACTGTGTCAGCCGCTTCTGTTGCCCGTGTGTCTGCAGCTTCAGTCGTCGCCTCCCATCTTCTCTCCTCTCACAGTCCCTCCTCCTCCTCACTTGCCCTCTGTGATAGCCTCTAGCTTTGCTGATAATTATGAACTATTGCTATGACTGCTCATTGTGCTGATTACACCCCACTTTGGCTATGGGGGTGTGTCAGAATATGTTGTTTGTGTAGCCTGCAGTGGGGTACTCAATAGTGAGTACAGCCCCTTAGGGTTTGCTATTTGTATCCTGCTGCTTGCTAGTTCAATCATTCCTTCTCAATTGTGTTCGTGCACACATTCCTAGCTCGTACTTGGCGCCTCCTTACGTAGTCCTACTGTGGCCTAGGCTACTAAGCCTAGGCCGTACTCCTACTATATTTGACAGGGGGAGGGCGCGACGGTGTAGGGCTGGGGCGTGGGCGACGGGCTAGGCGCGGAGGGCGAGGGGCAGGGCGTACGGGCCGCGCGTGGGCAACGGGCAGGGCGCACGGGCTACGCGCGGGCTAGGGGCAGGGCGCACGGGCGTCGCGACGGGCCGGGGCAGAGCCTCCGGGCTACGCGCTGGCTAGGGGCAGGGCGCAGGGGCGCCGCGACGAGCTGGGGCAGCGCCTACGGGCTACGCGCTGGCTAGGGGCAGGGCGCACGGGCGCCGCGACGGGCTGGGGCAGAGCCTACGGGCGTCGCGCGGGCTAAGGGCAGGGCGCGGGCTAGGCGCGGAGGGTGCAGTGGCGCGGTTTAGGCGCGGAGGCACAAAGGGTGCGGAGGTGCGAGCTAAGCGCGGAGGGCGCGGAGGGCGCGGAGGGCGCGGAGGGCGCGAGCTAGGCGCGGAGGGCGCGGAGGGTGAACACTAGGCTAGGAACGGGCTAGGAACGGTCCTGCTCTGATACCATCTCAAGAGTGGTTAGCAACGGAATGACTTGGAATAGAAACGAATGGGGTACAAATGAGCAACCCTAGAAGCTGTACCCCCTAGAGTGCAACTCACTACAGCCTATCATATCAATGTTCAACATTTGACACCCGAGTAGCTCCCGTCGAAATAATGGAAGATCTGCGCGTTTTGCAGCAGCAGCTCCAGCTCGAAGCTCCACGTATAGAAGTCTCTGCCGTCAAAACACACACTTGTCTTTATTTTTTATATGCTCAAAAACCTTGATTGTGCAGAGAGAATTGCCTTTTCGCTGGGACGGGGAGTTTTGGGAGTTGAGCCATTGGTGTCAAGGGAGAAGGTATGCGGGGCGGTGTTGTGGCCGTTCGAGGCCGGTTGAGAGGGTTGGGAAGAAGTTCCCGCGTCGCCGTTCCGCAATGTCTGGAGTTGTTGCTCCAGGCTGGTGAGTCGCTGAAGCATCTGTGCGAGGGCGGCGGTTCCGATTGTCGTTGTTTCCCCGCTTGTCGCAGCGGGGTTGGTCTGCGCTTCAGCCGTCAGATTCGTCTGACCACCAGATCCTCCGGCCATTTTCACGCGTGAGCGTGTGCCGGACGCCACTTTTCGATCGCCGAAGATTTCGGTGGTGGCGGTGCGAAGGATTCCTGAGTCGCTCTCATACCATGTTGCGATCAGAAGTTGATCGTGCCTATGATCACCTCAGGAAGGTTCGCACACAACTGAGTAGTGGTGGTGGGCCCTTGACCTCAATAGCAGAGTGAATGTAAATGCTTGAGATGATTAAAAACATGCAAATACAGCACTAGCCATGTACTCTAAGGGGTACATTCCCTTATTACAGCGAAATCCAACCGTGCGACTCCAGACAGTTACGAAACTGTTCGGGCAGAATCCTCGCCACTGCTGCTGCCTGATGCTGTCTGCCCGACGGTCCAGATGCTTTCGTAACCGTGCGACCCTTCGCGTCTCTTCCGCCCTTTCGCCTTCATTCTCGGTAGTGCGTGCTTCGATTGCTGCGGTGAGGAGTGCACAGTAGTGTTTCAATAATCACTATTCGTAACATAATGGAGCTCTTGCAAACACCTGGAACCCGTATGCGGATTCTACGCTCACGATACTTGGCAACGGTTACAGTACAAGTACCAGCACTAAGGCATACACTTACTGCCCTGAATCTGAAATCACAGGCCAACTCTAATGAATCGTCCCACCATATCATCGGCCAACTCCACCACCACAAGTGTGTAAACGCCCCCCCCATGTATGTATTTAAAACACTGCAGCACAGTACTGCAACAGATTGGAGCACATTTTTACCAGTGTCACAGCAGTAATGTGATTGTTTGGTCTAGTGTGCCCAGCTTTGCAGCAGATCTGTTGTATTGGTCAATATCAGCATAATATTAGCATGATATACTATTTGTAGTACATTGATTGTCGCTTGACATGAACTGCTAAAAGGCTTTCTAACTGATCTGATCATCCATTGCACAGCTTACACATAAGCAAGATTCTGTACTACTGCTCAATGTCGAGCACTCAATCTGCTCTCAGATTGGATTGCCTACAATGGCGGGTTCTGAGGAGTGATAACAACCTGCACAAAAAGGGGACAGCGAGGTGAACATGTCATTAAAAAGTACGGTGGGGCATGAAGCAATGCACAAAGAATGCAACAGCCCCAGAGGAAGCATCAGAGGGTACAATGAGGAATGTGCACTTACCCTCTGGTTGTCTTTCATGCAGTGGCTGAAGATGCCTGAGATGAAGTAAGTGGGGCCTGAAATGGGGTTACTGTAACATCCAGCCCCTGCACCGTCTGTAGAGTTGCAGTAAGAAATGTAGTTCGAGTAGTCGCAGTTTTTGTAATCCGTCAGCGATGGCACGATGAAGACCTCGTCCTTGTATGGAGGATATTTGAAAACTGCATGGGGGGAGTTGGGATTCATGATAAAAATAGAGAAAGCGTTAAATTCTGCGTGTATACTCCAGTAAGGCAGATGTTTGACAGTACCACCCAAGATCAGAATCGACAGTAGTAGATCCACAGCTCCAGCAAAGAGGAAGCACGCAGAGACTCAGGCGAACAGGCAGAAAAATGTAGACTCACCAACTGTATCGCCCTTGTAGACTTTATTGTACTGCAGCCACTTGTCGAACTGCCCGTTCGGGTTCCAGTTCCAGTTGAACTGCGACGACGGGTAACCCACCGCCAGAGTTCGCGGCGTGTACGGCTTCGCGTTCGCCTTCACGGCGAGCTTCTGCCCGGCCATGCAGTTACCGTAAAGTCCAGACGCGTAGTACGCCATTGTTCGGGTAACCTTAATTGAGCAACCCGACTTGGAGCCCCAGCTGTCGTAGCAAACCACCTTCGCGGCGCGGAAGTTGCACGAGCGGTAGTCTCCGTAGCGCACGAACTGGACCACCTCCTGATGGTAGTTCGGATACTTGAACACTGCGGGTTCCATGGGATGACGAGGTGGGAGGAAATTGGGGGAAACATAAGCGGACGATACAGTGAGAGAGTGGAGCAGTTTTATCCGGTACAGAACGGAATCCGTCAAGACTTCTCACACCAACCCCTCTTCCCCTCTCCCGCCTTGCCCTTCCTCCCTCGCCCGCCCGCCCACCTGCCGCCCACTGCACTCACGGATGACGTCGCCGTCGTAGAGCTTGCTCTTGGCGACCCAGCTATTGTAGTTAACCTGCGGGTTAAACGGGTAGTTATAGCTCGGCGTCGGGTTCCCCACCACGATCGACCGCCCGGATGCCTGAGTCGTCGCGAGGGGCGGCACCAAAGCGTTACCCGAGCCGCTGTCCGAGAGAAGGACGGCATCAGGAGAGCCTGGAGAAGAGGAGGATGACTTTCCAGTGGATTTGTCGCCGCCGGTCGTAGGCAGCGGGACAGAACTGTCTTCCGTTGACACATTTCCGATAGGCCCGTGCGACAGAGTCCCAACCAGTCTCGTTCCTTTCGCACCCGGCCCCGACCGGTTGTGCGCGGTGGATTGCGACGCGTCGTCCGCGGCGTTCTCGTCGCCGGCGCCTTCGCCTGCCGTCGTTCCGTTGTCGATGGCGTCGCCTGCGACCGGCGGATCGACAACAGCAGTATTGTTCCCAGATTCGCCATTGCCCGATCCTCCATTGTCGATGGTCGGCTCGACAACGAGCTGTGACAGTAGCACGGAAGGAGTCACCCACGTCAAGGCAGGATGGGAGAAATTGGAGAAAGGAGAACAGCCATTATGAACTCTGAGGGACATGGTATGTGACGGATTCAGAGAGAAACGCGAGAACGAACCGACACGCCACTCTGGCGATTAAAGCTTAACGTTTGTTGCACAATATCGCTCAACCATTTTTTCACTGCACCCTCTCAGCCTCCTTCCTTCTACTCTGGATCGGCATCACCGTCACCGTGACCGTCACTGTTTCCGTCAGTCGCGCTCACCTGTTGTCCCATATCGCAGTGCGTCTTAATCGACGTGATGTACAGAGGTCCCGATTCCACCGTCACGGTGCACGCGCTAGCCGCGCCGTCTTTGCCGGGCCGGCTTCCGCGGAGGGAGTCGCAGAGCACCTTCGCGTTCTTGAGATGACACGAGGCGAGATCCTTGGCACTGGCCATTTGATACACCACCTCGGCGCGCTTCGGATATTGGAACACTGTTGAATCAAAATGGTGACGGGTCCGAGGTGCGAACAGAAGGGGAAGAAAGCAAGGGGTTTGTGAAAGGTTGTGGGTAACAATATCTTGAAATCTTATATCCAACACTCCGTTTTGCGTGTAAGAATCAAAGCCGACGCTTAAGGAGAAGCAAGGAATCTCTGACTGTTCATTGGAACGGAGTGATAGAGTCCGAAGCGATCTTATCCGTACCAAGGACGTCGCCGGGTTGAAGCGGCGTTTCCGCAGCCCACTTGGTGTAGTTAACAGCAGGGTTCCATCCATAGCTGTATCCACCCACGTCCGCCTCTCCCACAGTCACGATCCGTGCCGCACACACTGCCACTAGTGCTGCTAGAAGCGCGCAACGGAGAAGGCACGGTTGGCTTAGGACAGTCATGGTTGCCAGTTTACGGCACGTACTTGCGGACGCCAGTGGGAAACAAGTCTATAACCCAGCGAGATCACGAAAGGAAAGTGATGTGGTGAAGGCAGCAGATGAACCGGATCGAGGCTAGACGACAGCGTGGTACTGATGATATTGTGGAAGTTAAAGCTCTATCCAACGACTCTAGCGACTTGTGCGTCTACGTCGGAGCGGTTAATCAGGTTAAGGAGAGCAGCGAGAGTCCATGGAAGAAAAGGCTATGGCTAAGGATATGTTGACTAGTGTGCCTGATTGAAGCTTCCCAAGCTTCTGAGCATGATGTGTTTCGAGCTCCCGAAAATCGTGATTGATTGATTGATTTTCCTTGACAGTGCTGGAGCTGATAGTGGAGAGACGACTGCAGCAACGATCAGTCGGTCTGTGCGTGTGCCCTTGAAAGCGCGATATGGTGGTGCCGTTCCGCCAAAAAGGTATGATGTGCTGAATGTGATGCGAGTGTCGGCTCAGGAGCACGCGGGAGAGGGGCAATGAGGGGGACGGAGGGAGCCTTGACAGTACGGAGGGAGAAGAGCATCCAGACCAAGTTCAGAAGCAGTCAGCTCGTTGCGGGGAATGCGCGGGGGGAATTTGAAGGGCATCAAAGGCTCGGGATGCGAGGGAAGCAAGTAGCAGACTGAAGGTCGGAGCAGCAGATTCCATGCCACAATTTCCTGCTAGCCGTAGATGTGAGAGGACATACGAGTCGCGCGCGACAAGGGCTGTGAAATTCGCATTGGCTTTGTGTCTCCGCGGCTCGGCAGAGTGCGATGTGCTTTTCCCGCCTGTGTCGCCTCTGCAGCGGCAGTGTCGGAATGGCGCGTGGATGTGCTTCGTGTTGGCAAGCAACGGAGCCATTTGACTTTCCGCCGGGCTTGGCGTGTCAGCAGAAATCTGGGCTTTGCGCAAAGCTATGACATTGCGTGACCGAATTGTATTCAAAATAAATTAACAACCTGAGTACACTCAGTTTTTTCCACAACGATTATTTATAATACCATCCAGCCTGTTAGATCCTAGCTCTAGCAAATCAGCAAGATGACCTAGCATCTTGGCTTGCACGCCTAGCACATTGCACAGCTATACTCCCAGAATGACTACACCTAGTCAGGAACTTGCAGGACAAATCATGACAAGCATTTAACCAATCAAAACGTCATCTCGGTAATCCATCTACGCCGTCAAGCCCATAATGACAATTGCTTCTGCAGCCCTGCAGCGCCTCCCACTCACCAAGAGCATATTGCCACACAACCTTGTCGTGCCATTGACACACCAATGGTGGTGAAGGTCAAGGGGCAACCAGGCTTTGACTAAAAAGGCAAGCCCCCGCCCCACACCTTCCCCCCTCAGTTTTACTTCTTCACCTCCCCCCCCCCCCCTCTCCAGTGTAGATCACCAGACCAAAATCAGCGAATCATTTGTGTGTGTTGCTCTTTAAACCTTACTACCAGGGCCTCCCTGCCATCAAATGGGCCCCAACTGAAACGAGAAAACGGCTAATAAGAGACTCTCAATACTAAGACCTCCACAACCAACCACCACCACCACCACCACCACCGCAACCCACTAAAAAGACCTCCACTCTTACCACCATCACCACCATAAGCATGCTATGCTTTCCACCACCACCACCACCACCACCACCATGGTCACTAAATGTTATTTTACCACCACAACAGTCATGCCATGCTTTCCCCCCTCACCCCTGACCTGCAGCTGCCCCTCCCCCTCCCTCCTGCCCTTCCTGCCCATACCCGCCCCCTCCCTCATACCCCCCTTGCCCCTGCTGCCCATACCCCCCACCGTACCCCCCCTGCTGCTGTCCCCCTCCCCCCTGCCCCTGCTGCTGCGCATACGGATCCATTCCCCCCTGCTGCTGCCCTCCCTGCTGGTAATAGTCATATCCGCCCCCCTGTTGCTGTCCCCCATAGTAGCCTCCCCCCTGCTGTGCATACTGCTGCTGCCCATACCCCCCTTCCTGCTGCCCGTATCCTTCTCCTCCTGCTGCTGCCCCTCCTCCTGCTGCTGCTCCGCCCCCTTCGCCCCCTCCTCCTTGCTGCCCATACCCCCCACCACCTTGGTTGTTGTAATACCCTCCGCCCTGCCCCCCCTGCCCCCCATACCCATACCCCCCATCCGCTCCCCCTTCTGCTCCCCCTGCATTGCCATTCCCCGCCCCTGCTTCCCCCCCTGCGCCCTGCCCACCCCCCTGTCCCTGCCCATAATAATCGTACCCTCCCCCTCCCCCCTGCCCCATCCCTCCTGCTCCCCCCTGCTGCCCCCAGCCTTCCCCCCCGCCTCCATACTCCCCTCCCCCTTGCTGCCCGTACCCTCCATACCCTCCCCCGCCCCCTTGCCCCCCATACTGTCCCCCCCCATACTGCCCCCCTCCACCGTACCCCCCTCCCTGCTGCCATCCCTGCTGCCCCCCTCCCCCTCCCCCTCCCTGCCACTGCTGCTGTTGGCGAAATCCCCCTCCAAATCCGGGCCCTCCGCGGCGGTTCGACTGGAGAACAGCAAGGGGCACAAGAGGAGGGGATATGGAGGATACAGAGGGGAACAGCAGCGGGGGAGAAGAAGGGGGGGAGTGGAACAAGGGAGGGGGAAAAGGGAGCAGTAATGAGCACCGGGGTAAAGGGGGAGCGGAAAGGTGAAGGGGAAGAGGGGGAGGGAGGAAGAAAACGGAAGAGGGGACAGATTCAGTGGAAGGAAGCGATGGGAGGGCAGCAACGGGAGGGCGGCAAGGGGAGGGCGACAAGGGGAGGGCGGCAGGGGGAGGGCGGCAGGGGGAGGGCGGCAGGGGGAGGGCGGCAAGGGGAGGGCGGCAGGGGGAGGGCGGCAAGGGGAGGGCAGCAGGGGGAGGGCGGCAAGGGGAGGGCAGCAAAGGGAGGGCGGAAAGTTGAGGGCGGCGAGGGGAGGATAGCGGCAGCAGAAAGCACAGTGAGTGAGCTGCTGCAGTGACACGCGCGTGTGCACCTCCTGTTGCATGTGTAGTTTTGAGGCGCCTCACAACTAGAAAGCACAGTGAGTGAGCTGCTGCATGCAGTGACACGCGCGTGTGCACCTCTGTTGCATGTGCACCGCCGCACAGCGCCCCACTGCGCACGCGTGCCAGCAAGCACACATACCTCGTCGAGCACCTCGCGAATGAATGAGCTCCTGTGCTGTGCAACGTCCGTCTCCTGCTTGGTGTGTGTGCGTCGACCCACTGCACCCCAGTACACCCCTTCTACGCCCCACGGCGCCCATCAGCACCCCACTGCGCCCCACTGCGCCCCACTGCGTGCGTGTGAACTGAACGCACCTCGTCGAGCACCTCGCGGATGAGCTCCTGTGCCACGTCCGTCTGCTGCTTGGTGCCCATGAGCATCACTGTGCGCTCCATGCTCCCCGGCTGCACCTCCCTGTCGCTCTGAATCTGCACCACCGCTCCATGTCATGCCATGCCATGTTATGTCATGCCATGCCATGTTATGCCGTGCCGTGCCATGCCATGCCATGCCATGCCGTGCCATGCCGTGCCATGTTATGCCATGCCGTGCCGTGCCATGCCATGCCGTGCCGTGCCGTGCCATGTTATGCCATGCCATGCCATGCCATGCCATGCCATGCCATGCAACCGGGGCACACGAGGGCAGAGGCGGAGGCGGAAGCAGCGGAGGAGGAGGAAGCAGTTGAGAATGCAAACGTAGCCATTGCCGGGAGCAAAAAAGCGGGTGCAGGGCCCATTTACGGGGCAAACGAGCATACCAGCATAAGAGCAGAAGACTAAGCAGCAAGAGAGCGAACGAGAAGAAGAGGAGAATAGGACATGCCTGAATGCGCGCGCCCGAGCGATTCTGTAGGTTCTTAATGGTCTCGCCGCCGCGACCAATGATAAGCCCCACCTGCGGGCGCAAGCAGGGGGGGGAGTAGACGGAAGGAGAAACGGGAGAGGGGACCAAAGGGGAGAGGCCGGGAGGGAGGCACAGACGGATTGACGAAGGAAGGGAGCAATAGGCTGACAAGAAGGACCAAGACGTGAGGTTGTGATCGCAAAGTGCAACGTGAAGAAACTAGCACTGCAGGTGCAAGCTGCTAGCATTTTTCGGTGGACTCAAAAACGGGTTGTTGAACAATCAGATCAATGAGGTACAGGAACAAACAAACAAACGAGCCAACAAGAGATAATAGCTGAATCAACAGGTGGTGGTTCACTCACCCGGCCGCTGGGGATCTGAATCGGCACGGACTCGCTGCTCCCTGCGATGCGAACGAGTTTTGAGACGCCTATAAATAAACCCACTGATTTCAAGACGTCTCAAAAATCGGTGTGCCCTGAATCGACATCACTCACCCGGCCGTTGGGGATCTGAATCGACACGGACTCGCTGCTGTTTCCAGCAAACGAGTTTTGAGACTCAATGCTGGGCTGAAAACCCATTCATTTCAAGACGTCTCAAAACTCGGTGTACCAACCACTCACCCGGCCGTTGGGGATCTGAATGGACACGGACTCGCTACTAGTGTTTCCAGCGAACGCCCTGCCGCCGCCCGCTGCCTGGTGCTTGGGGGATGACAAGGACAAGGCGCATGCAGCAGAATAGACGGTAGAGAGCGGTTCAAAGGGTGCAGACCAACTCAGCAGGCACAGGGGCTTGAGAGGAAACGGAATTTCCCACAAAGGGAATAAATATCAAACTTCGTTGCAAAATCGTCAAACCCCAATGTAACCAGTCTTTCTCACCCTTCCCCTCCCCACCAAGCGCAATCGACGATTAAAAGGCGGCGATATTACCCACCCACGGCCGTAAAGTCGCTCGAGCACGCGCAACACAAAGAGCGTAGCGCCGAAGATGAGAAAATGAGCACTTTTAGCACGGCGGTGACGGGGAAGCTCAAGATTTAAGTTGACTTTTGAGTCGACTCAAAAGTCAAGAGCGTAGCGCGCCGTAAATGAGCACTTTTAGCACGGCCGTGACGGGGAAGCTCAAGATTTGAGTCTCTGCGCCGCATCGACCTCGTCTCGTCCGGCACCTGGCGGATAGGAGCCTCCGCCAAGCGAACACGCGCCCGTCCCCTTTCCCCCCACCCTTCCCCCCTTCCCGCAACTCCCCCCCGTCCCCGCCTTCCCCCCTTCCCCCCGTCCCCCCTTTCCCCCTTCCCCCCTCCCCCCTGCCCCGACCATTGCGCACTCACCTCGTCCAGCACCTGGCGGATGAGCACCTCCGCCTGCGCCATCTGCTCCGGAGTCCCCATGAGCTCCACGGAGCGCAGCGCGGAGCGCGGGTCCGCGTCCGCGTCGCGCGTGACCTGGATCTTCGCGCCCGACTGCGCCTGCAGGTACTTGATCGTCTCGCCCGCCTTGCCGATCACCAGCCCCACCTGCGCGCGGAGACGGTGCGCGGCCGAATGGCGCGGGGGGACGGCGCGGGAGAGGCGCGGGGAGAGGCGCGGGGGAAGGCGGGGACGCGCATCGAAGGAGAAATGAGCGGCGAGGGGGTGGACGGAATGGTACAAGGGAGGGAAGAAAGGAGGGAGGCAAGGAGAGAAGATGAGGAAGGAGAGAAGAAATGAAATGAGGGGAAGGAGGGAGGACAATGCGGAAATCAAGGGTTGACTCGGAACTGACGGAGCGGGTGCTTTGCGATTGACGATTGTGCAAAAGTTATCGATGGAAGCGGGGAAAGCACAGGTGCGGGGAGAGGGAGAGGGGGAGCGGAAACGACGAGGGGCGGAGAAAAGCAACGGCGAGCTGCTGCCTTATAGCGTGGAGCGGAGATGAGCGGAGAGGGGTGAAGAGGGGCGGAGAGGGGCGGAGAGGGGCGGAGAGGGGCGGAAACGGGCGGAGAACGAACCTTTGAATTGGGGACGTCAATCTTCCTGCTGCCGCTTTGCTGATCGTAGTAACCTGACTGCTGCTGCTGCTGCTGGAAATACCCTTGTCCCTGTTGCTCGCCTGCATGTGGACACAAGGTCACGTGGCGTCACTCTTAGTCTCGCTCTCTTCTTAATCTCCACTTCCCATCGGATCATATTTACACTAACAACAGTACCTTGCTACGTCAACTCTTGCGTCGGAACGAAAATAAAAACAAAAAACAACAACAATAACAAAAGGACACGGTTTTTACACCAAAAAAACTAAAGAACGAAAAGAAAACGGTTTTTCGCTGCTTACCGCCCATCCCAGGAGGGCCCTGCCCGCCGCCGTATCCCGAATATCCCCCCGGCGGCCCTCCCCCCTGTCCCCCCATCGGCCCCCCCATCGGTCCCCCCATCTGTCCACCCATCTGTCCCCCCATCTGTCCCCCCATAGGTCCCCCCATCGGGGGACCCATTCCCGGCGGGCCCCCTCCTCCCGAGCCGCCGCCGCCACCCGGCTCGGAGCCCCCTCCTCCCGGGCCTCCTCCCGGCGCTACTTGCGCCGCACCCGCCGCTCCCCCGGCAGCAGGCGGCTCATCGAACTTAGACCGCTTCGCGCCGGTGTTTAAGAACTTAGCCGCAAGCTCTTCCGCTTTGCGCTTCGCCTGATCGAACTCGGACGCGGGAGGCGGAACCGAGGAGTACACGCCGCCGGCAGACGGTTCCGCTTCGTCCGCGGCCGGCGCGGAGCCGTCGTCGGTCGGCGCGTGATCCTCAAATTGTCGCTTTCCCGAGCCGTCTGGCTGCGACGCAGGTGCGGAGCCTGGCGCTTCCTCGGCCATGGTGAGTCCCGATCAGATCCAACCCTAAAGAAGCAGTTGCGACGGAGGGAGGTAGGTGAGGGAAAGTAGTTGAGTTGAGATATGAGCAAATAAGAGGGGGAAAAGGCGGAGTCAAAACAGGCGGAGTGAGAAAAGGGCGGAAGGCGGGTGTGGTGAGTTGATGGGGGGAGAAATGAGGAGGGTGGACTGGCGGAGGGTTAGGGGGGAAAGGTGCGAGTGGGGGTGTCGCGGAGAGGGTTGGGGGGTGAGATTTCTTTATGCGAAAATGTTCAGGGTGAGGGATGCACTATCGAGGACACGGATTTCTGAAGTTGAAAAAGGGAACAAGATTAAGGTTATATACTGATCTTAATCAATGTACACAACACAATTCATATATAGCTATCTAAAAATATGGCCGAGATGGCCAGCATTCTGTAAGGAGCACGTAAAACGCATGTTATTTCTATGTCCGTAAAGGGCATTCACCATAGGCCTAGGGAGAAGCTCTATGCCAGAGCCCATTTACCGGGGTTGGTTGAAGTTCTCCAGGAGCCAGGAGTGTCAAAGGTCGGGGTGGATGGAGAGCATGCTGCTTCTGTCAAAAAGGAGGAAACATAGATTTTGTGCCAACTTTATACAAGAGGAGGTTCGTTGTCGCTTCTCGGTGGACTGGCGACGTCTTCTGCACATAAAAATATTGAATGCGATAAGGAAGTAGGCCAAAATCGGCTTCAGGATCTCGAGGCGCGAGGAGGGTGAGCGTAACCGCTCTACTTGTGTTTGTAGTGTGCCGTCCGCAGGGCCTCAACCGCTGCACCGACCAGCAGGCTCCAAGGGGGAGTCTGTCCCGCCCGAGACTGTATAGGGAAGAATATGAACTCGACTAGGAGATATCAGCGTAAAACACGCTGATTAGGCTGATTTTGTAGCTGTGATTTTCGTTTTCCCTGAAAATTCAGCATATGCTTCAAATTTGCACTGAAATTTCAGTATAACCTACCTTGCCACACTGACCATTTTGTTGAACTAAGAGGAGAGGAATGGTAAGAACAGAAGAGGGGTTGCACTAGCAGCAGATAGGATACATATAGCAAACCCTAATTTGGGTTGTACTCACTATAGAGTACCCCACTGCAGACTAGACAATTATAGCATTCTGACACACCCCCATAGGCAAAGTGGGGTATGATCAGCACAGCAAGCAGTCGCATAAGAAGTTCACAAGCACAAGCAAAGCTAGAGGCAGTCACAGAGGGCAAGTGAGGAGGAGGGACTGTGAGAGGAGTGGAGATAGGAGGGCGGCCCCTGAAGCTGCTGGCACACGATACTGGAGTGGCGCACGAACAACTGGTGCAACTGGCACACGGGCAACTGGAGTAACTGGCTCTGCTCGCCGGCAAGAGCAACTGACCCACGGGCGACTGGAGCAACTGGCACACAGGCTCCTGGCGCAACGCCTCACGGGCGACTGGAGCTGCAGACTTCACGACGGCTACCTCCGTTCAACCTCCCTGCCCCAAACCCCCTTTTCACATCCCCCTCTGCATCCCTTGCATCACTCCCACGACACCCCCCTAGCGCCACTCCCTCGGCTCCCACACACCCACCCCCCTCAGCGGCAGCTGCAGCAGTGGGAGACGGAGGAGGAGGAGGAGGAGCAGGGGACGGCTCACACGTCCGCCACCCCCATACCCCCAACGCAGGCGGCGTACGTGCGGCGCGGGGCAGATACGCGGGCAGCAGCTGGGGCGGCGTGTGAGCGGAAGCGGGGCGGTGCGCGGGCCCCCAGGGCGCCGCGACGAGCGACGGGAGGGGGCGACGCGCGGGCCCCCAGGGCGGGGCGACGGGCGACGGGCAGGGCGGCGCGCGGGCCCCCGGGGCGCCGCGACGGGCGACGGGAGGGGGCGGCGCGCGAGCCCCCGGGGCGCCACGACGGGCGACGGGAGGGGGCGACGCGTGGGCCCCCAGGGCGCCGCGACGGGCGACGGGCAGGGCGGCGCGCGGGCCCCCGGGGTGCCGCAACGGGCGACGGGAGGGGACAGCGCTCGGGCCCCCGGGGCGCCGCGACGGGCGACGGGAGGGGGCGACGCGCGGGCCCCCAGGGCGCCGCGACGGGCGACGTGCAGGGCGGCGCGCGGGCCCCCGGGGCGCCGCGACGGGCGACGGGGGGGGCCGCGCGCGGGTCCATGGGGGCGCCGCGACGGACGACGGGGCGTGAAACCGCCGCGCGCGCCCGGGGCGCGCGGCGGGCAGGAAACCGCCACGCGCCCCGAGCGCGTGGCGGGCAGAAAAAACGTCGCGCGCCACGGGGCGCGCGGCAGACAGTACAGCAGCGGAAGCAAGTGGGCCCACAGGCCAGGAGCGTAGTGGCTCTGATAGCATGTTGAAATAAGAGGAGAGGAATGGTAAGAACAGAAGAGGGGTTGCACTAGCAGCAGATAGGATACATATAGCAAACCCTAATTTGGGCTGTACTCACTATAGAGTACCCCACTGCAGACTAGACCATTATAGCATTCTGACATATTTTGCGTGTTGCTGTACAAGTAACACTGACGAATCAGTATAGTGACATGTGTCACACTGAAACGGACTTCACCGCGTGGGGGGGGGGGGGGGGTATAGGGTACGCGTGTACAGTCTGTACCTTCCCGTGATTCACGAAACCCCACCCACACACTTGGAATTTTTTCGCATGCGCTGCACATATATCAGGTACGTGCCGAAGTGTTTAGCCTCGCTGGAACCTATCACAGCAACAACACCACACACCATGTACTGGTGTTTCAGCTATTGTTTTTTTTTTTTACACTGTTGGTTCAGTTTACTTATGATTTTTACACTGGCAAAATCAGTATAAAAAAAACCGTAAACGCTGATATGGACACCTCGTTGGCCGGGGCACGCTGACCCATCAGCATACCCTCAAACCAATCTGAGGGCCTGAACTCGACGGAGGTAGAGTGTCCGAGATGTCGATCAGCGACCGTGTCGAGAGCCGAGGCGACGTTGCCAGCGAAGCAACAAAAAAAAAGATGTATGGCAGCGTCTCAATGACAACTGCAGGGCATCGAGGGCAAATCTCCCTATCGTCGAAGTATTGGAAACGTGAGCCGGAGGGGAGGGTGAGAGTGTATAGCTTGAATAGGATGTCCCGCTGACGACTAGGCTGGTCTCGAAGAAACGCGTGCGTGAGGTCAGGAAGAGGAGGAGGAGGGGAAGAAAGGTCGGGGGTCCAGCGGAGCCGATGATTTGAGTGGTTGGGTTGGATAGAGGAGGCGGCGGATATCGGCGATGCTGGGAGTACCGTCTTGCAGAAGTTCTACCCTAGCCCTATGTGAAGTGCCCTTGCTAGCCACCACCCTCTTACATAAACCTCCACAAGGTCCTGTAAGTTGAAATGACCAGTAGCAGAGGGGGTGAGGGTGATAAGCTTGTTTGGAAGTAGGGGGTGGATACTAGCCGATTTAGATGTAGGTCGGGTGAAGGAAACAACGTGCAGGGCGACACGGGGAGAGGAACCGGTGTCGTTCGAGGCCACAAAACAGTCACCTATCCACCTACCTAGCTCCAAGCTCACATAGAAACCTCGTTCACACCCGTAGCTCCCTTAGTACCCGCTCCCCTCATGCCCCTCCCGTCGGTAGCGCCAACCTCGCCAACCTTGCCATCCTGCGCTAGCCCGTGCCAGCTGCGCCGGCCCACGCCAACCCGTGCTAGCCCGCGCCAGCCGCGCCTGCCCGCGCTAGCCGCACACCAGCCCGCGCGACGCCCACGCCAATCCGCACACCGCCCGCGCCAGCTGTGCTCCAGCCCGTGCCAGACACCGTGACAGCCGCGTCTGCACCCACGCCATCCAACCCGCGCCACCCACGCCACCCGCACTAGCCGCGCGCGCACCCGTGCCAGCCGCTCAGCCGCACGCTAGCCCGCGCCAGCCACATTGCCCGCACGATAGCCCGCGCCAGCTCGCGCCGCCCGAGCGCCAGCCCGTGCCGTCTCCCACACGCACCTGCCACTACCGCCAACGCAAGCCGCGCCAGCCGCAACCTTCGCCAGCTAGCGTCGCCCTGCCTCGCGTCCTGTTGCGCGCGAGCCTTCTGCGCCCATGACCATGCCTTACTGCACCTACTGCATGCCCTCTCTTTCACGCTCGACTCTGGGGCGTGTCAGTGCTTTCGCGACCACACCATTCGCCACTTCCAGATCTTTTCTTAGGCTCTTTGGCTGACCCCTCCTCTAAACCGGTCGTTGCGTGTAGTGCAACTTCACTACCGTGTCCGACAGTCCCTTTGGCTCCCTCGCATGTCTACACATCCCCTCGCTCTCCAAAAAAATGGTGGGTGTCGGTCGTCTTCAGGACCTCGGTGTCACCACATCGTTCCCTGGACACGAGCGGTTTGTGACCTGTACGGACACTACCACTGGGGCATCTCTTGCCATGTTCCTTCGGGATTCTACATCAGGTATTTTCACCATGCACAATGTGTCGACCCATGCGTTGTCTGGTCAAGTAGCTGCGTCATGCTTATGCCGGTCGCTTACATACCCGTCGCTCTTCTGGCACCACCGCCTAGGTCACCCGGCACTCCCGCGTCTCCTTCACATGGCTCAGCACGGTCTATTCTCAGGTCTCCCGTCGTCGTTCCCCCCTCTCCCTCCCTCGTCTGCGGCGCCTTTCGTCGAGGCAGGCAGCGCACCGCCCCTCACTCCTCCTCGCTTCCTCCTACTATTGAGCATCTTCAGACTGCACATGGACGTCTGGGGCCCTGCCCCCGTCCCCGAGCCGCGCGGGGAGCGCTACTTCCTGGTTGTTGTGGACGACTTCTCCCGCTAGACCACGATGTTTTCCTTGGAGCGAAAGGCTGACGTGCCTGGCACTATGGCTAGTGGCCATCCGCTCTAGCACGCCCAGCCTGTGCTTCGTCTGCACTCTGAGCGTGGTGGCGAGTTCGCCTCCGGTCGCCTAGACCGAACCTGTAATGCGAGGGGCATCACCCATACTTACACGTTCCCAG